TCCTCTCAGCCTTCTCTTCTTCAGGCTAAACATGCCCAGCTCTTTAAGCCGCTCCTATAGGGCTTGTTCTCCAGACCCTTGATCATTTTAGTTGCCCTCCTCTGGACACATTCCAGCTTGTCAACATCTCCCTTCAATTGTGGTACCCAGAATTGGACACAGTATTCTAGGTGTGGTCTAACCAAGGCAGAATAGAGGGGTAGCATGACTTCTCAGAACAAACAGAAGATTGAAGTGGTAGTATAAATCCTAATCTTCCACGTAGGATCTGGATGGGGTGTGAGATGTGTATGTTTTGTGTTGTACTATTAAGCAAGTATCAATGCATTCAGTGGGATTTACTTCCTAATTAGTAAATTCAGGACTTCAGCCTCAGATTGATGCACTGAGTAATCCTCTGTTTTCTCCTTTCTTTTAGATTCATCCAATTTCTCCTCAATTGTCTCATTTTATAACCAATTTCTTGATAATGAGGGGAAGGCTGAGTTGTTTCATTTGATATCATATAAACATCTGGTTGCTTGTTACAATTGTAACTGTATGTATTACAAAAAAACAAAAAACAAAACCCACAATGTAAAGTCGTTCATGAGCCTCTTTTTCATAAATTCAACAGACCTTTCCAAATCTCTATTCTAGTTGCTGCAAGGGGACAAAGCCAGTTGTATTCCAACACAGTGTTTGGTGTTACTGAGTTGAATAACCACTTAGAAAAATAAAGTACGGGTCTTTTATGCTCTCCAGCTGTCTTGATTTGACAAGCACAGTTCTGATTAATCTGTCGTCATCGTATTTTTTTCAAATGTGTCGCTCTTTCCCTCTTTGTCCTCAGCATATTTCCACTGCTGCAATCTGAATTCAGAATTGCAGAAGCAATTTCCACTAAATTAGTGCATCAAAAAGGAAAGGAGGAAGTAGAATCTTCCCCTTTCCAGTAGACTCAGGCAAAAGCAAATTGCTGCAACTGCTAACCATTTGCGTGTATGTCCTTATGAATAATATTTGCCACTTTGACCACACTCTGTATTTTTTATACTGTATTTTTTAGATTCTAAGTTGCACCCCTCACCACATAGAATCATAGAGTTGGAAGAGACTTCATGGGCCATCCAGTCCAACCCCCTGCCAAGAAGCAGGAAAGTCACATTTAAAGCACTCCTGACAGATGGCCATCCAGCCTTTGCTTAAAAGGTAAAGGTAAAGGTTGTCCCCTGACATTAAGTCCAGTTGTGTCCAACTCTGGGATGCTCATCTCCATTTCTAAGCCGAAGAGTCGGCGTTGTCCATAGACACTTCCCAGGTCATGTGACCGGCATGACTGCATGGAGCACCATTACCTTGCTGCTGGAGCGGTACCTATTGATCTACTCACATTTGCATGTTTTCGAACTGCTAGGTTGGCAGAAGCTGGGGCTGACAGCGGAAGCTCACACCGCTCCCCGGAATCGAACCTGCAACCTTTCAGTCAACTAGCTCAGCAGTTCAGCAGCTCAGCACCACAGGGGGCTCAGCCTTTGCTTAAAAGCCTCCACCACACTTCAGGGCAGAGAGTTCCACTGGTGAACAGCTCTCACAGTTAGGAAGTTCTTCCTAATGTTCAAGTGGAATCTCCTTTTCAGTAATTTGAAGCCATTGTTCCGCATCCTAGTCTCCAAGGCAGCAGAAAACAAGCTTGCTCCCTTCTCCCTATGACTTCCCCTCAAGTATTTTTACATGACCCTCATGTCTCCTATCAGTCTCCTCATAGGGCTTGTTCTCCAGACCCTTGATAATTTTAGCCATCATTTTCTGGACACATTCCAGCATGTCAACATCTCCCTTAATATAAATGCATCTAAAAATGGAAGTCTTACAACTAAGTCTTGCAATATATATATACACACACACACACACACACATATACATATATATATATACAGACACACACATATATATACATACATATACACACACACATACATATATATGTGTGTGTGTGTGTGATACTAAAATTAGTGTGCGTCTTACAATCTATGTCACCTTAGAATAAAAAAATAAAAAAATAAAAAAAATTTATTTACAACATTTATATGTCGCCCTTCAGAGCAGGGGACTCAGAGCAGCTTATAAGGTATATACACACACACACACACACACACAATATATTATATTATTAGCATATTACAATATCAGTATTAAATATTACTATATTGTACTATACCATTATGTGTCATAATATTAGTAATATTACATGTAACATAAATATATAATTATAATATCATGTTATTAGTAGTATTATTATATTGCATATTATAATATTATAAATATTATATGTATATACAATATATTATATTATATTACATTATATTATATTATTAGAATAGCACAGGGGACAAGATGGAACTGTCTTCTGCCCTCTCTCTCTTCATTTGGTACATTTTAGTTTTCATCTGTGAAATGCTAGAGAATATGTGCTTACAGAAGTTGCTTTTTCGACTATAATTTCCACAAACCTCCAACCCTGAGGATGTTTGATTTCAAAAGTTGTGTTTAAAGTGTTGTGTAAGTTCAAGCCCTATCCTATCACTGGATCTACCAGAAGGGCACACAAAGACAAGTGTACCTATCTGGTTCTGGCCAATTGCTCACTCTGCTCAGTTTTCTGCCCTATACAAACCACACACAAGACATTTTTCCCTGGCAGAATCCTCACTTTAGCTGCTGGGTTATGAGCTCTTCTTCATTGAGGTAACGGAGACGCTCCTCCTCCACCATGGAGCGTTGCCGCTGCAATGGATCCTCCTGTTTGCGCATGGTGTCCGTCACCCGCACACTGATCTCGGTCTCAGTCCGCCGCAGCATAGTCTTCACTGTTTCTTGATTCTGAATCTGAAAAAGAGATGAGGGAAAAGAAGGTGAGAGTGCTACAAGAGAAGCATTTGCAGATTAATTTTCTCATCATGCACCAGAGCCACTGGAGAATGAGAAAATGAAAAAATTCCACAACTGTGTTTCCTGGAATATATCTGAAGAATATCTCAAATCACCCGATGTTCTCTCCAATGTGGATCAATTTCCTTGTGGTGTGTACTGCAGAGTTTGATAAGAACTTGCAAGAATTCACACATTTTTTTTCATTCAGAGAGGAAAGAAATATTGGAGGAAGGGAAACAAAGAGATTTATTTATTCAGGCAGAGATTTGAGTCCTTTGACTGCTTTATCTTAGAAGTCAGTGTTTGAACTTCGGTGCATGTTTGTAGTGCTACTAAATTAGGAGGCTTCCTTCTCCTCCTCCTCTCCTTTTACAATTACATTTTTGGCAGGTACACGATGATTCTCTCCCAGGCTGGCAATAGCTCCATTTTGGCAGTGTCTCTCCCTACTGAAATTGGCTGGTGTATACACCTAAAATTAATTTGGATTTTTAACACGCACACACACACACACACACACACACACGAAAGTACAGATATTTAGATAAAAATGTAATGTTCGTTTGTGGGATTTACATAACTCAAAACCACTGGACGAATTGCCATCAAATTGGGACACAATACACCTATCAGGCCATCGAGCGACCATCACTCAATAAACGATTTTGTCATTTGGGGGTTGTAGTTGCTGGGATTTGTAGTTCACCAACAATCAAAGAACATTCTGAACTCCACCAATGATGGAATTGAACCAAACTTGGCACACAGAACTCCCATGACCAACAGAAAATACTGGAAGGGTTTGGTGGGCACTGACCTTGAGTTTTGGAGTTATAGTTTACCTACACCCAGAGAGCACTGTGGACTCAAACAATGAAGGATCTAGACAAAAATTGGCAAGAATACTCCATATGCCCAAATATGACACAGATGGAGTTTGGGGGAAATAGACCTTGACATTTGGGATTGTAGTTACTGGGATTTATAGTTCACCTACAATCAAAGAGCATTCTGAACCCCACGAACGATAGAATTGGGACAACTTCCCACACAGAACCCCGCTACAGCAGGGGGGGGGGGGGGCTTGAGGGGCTTCAGCCCCCCCCCCGAAATTCTCATGGTGGTTCGCGAAAAGGCCTTACTGGTGCATTATTTAAACTGTTATGTTTGTTCATATCATGATCTGATCACCATACTCAATATATCCCATATGCATGGGGGTATTGGGGTAATGATACAAAAGGTTTGCTAGGCTAGACCCTCTTTCACTCAGACTCAGCCCCCCCGAAACTCAGCCCCCCCAAACCCCCCCTGAAAAAAATTCAGCCCCCCCCCCCGAATCGAAATCCTGGCTACGGGCCTGCCCATGACCAACAGAAAATACTGTGTTTTCTGGTGGTCTCTGAAGACCCTTCTGACACCCCCTTGCTACACCCCCCCGGGGTCCCCACCCCTAGGATGAGAAACGCTGACTTAAGGACAGTCAGTCCAACTCTCTTCACCAGGGCAAGAACACATAACCAAAGCCCTCCTGACAAAGTGCCATCCAGCCAGAGATATAGATAGATACATATGATTCACACACAGACACACACACACACACACACACACACACAATGACATACATAATATCATAGATTTGAAAGGGACCCCTAAAGAAGGACAAGAGTATATTCCATGTTCCAGAGTAGGCAAACCAGACAATCTCTACATCAACACTGACAAAGAAACAGCAAGAAATACTGTTTACCTACAAGCATCAAGAAATCACATATATTAGAAACCAACACTTTCTTATTACTTTTCCAAATCACCAGACTGGGCCACAGCAATGCGTGGCAGGGGATGGCTAGTTTCCTGCTAGTTTCCGCCCCTGTCTCAGGCACAATTAGTGTGGATGAGGGAGAGGGCATTCTCGGTGGTGGCCCCCCGTCTCTGGAACTCCCACTCTAGGGAGATTAGGCAGGCACCCTCCCTAGCCAATTTCCGCAAGGAACTAAAGATGTGAATGTTTGGTTGTGCCTTCGACTGATGATCTGTTTTCACTATTTAACCTGAATTCCTATATTACATCATTATTCATATATGTACGTTAAACTGAGATGATCCTGTTCCTGTCTAATTGCTCTGTTTCCATGATATCTCCTGTGCCAGTTATATTCCTATCCACTTTATTGAACTACTTACCTTTTAATCATTTTGTATGCTGGCCTCCTTCCCCCCTCCAAAATTTGGGTTACTGTTGCTTAATGCTTGTTTATTACTGTTATGTTGTTTTGTATCTTTTTAATTTGTAACTTGCTGTTGTTTTGCTTTTAATTGTATGCTGCCTGGGCTTGGCCCCATGTAAGCCGCCCCGAGTCCCCTTGGGGAGATGGAGGCGGGGTAGAAAAATAAAGTTCTTCTTCTTCTACTACTACAACTACTACTACTACTCCTTGGTATTACTGTATGGTTCTGTTTTCTTTTGAAAAAAAACACACTCTTTACAAAATTATGAATAACTAAAAAGTCATAATACTTTTGTTCTACAATGAAGTACTAACTGCAAAAACAGGACATGAGAGAATGTCTTGGAATCATTTTCCATGGAATTTCTATCTGTATCTCAAAATTCTGGAGGTTTAATAGTTTTTCTCAAACTCTGCCCACGTACTTATATTTGCAGTTTCAAAGAAGAAAAGATCAGCAGGTAATTCTGCACAAATGCACATGCAACTGATAAACCCAAGTTAAGTCCTTTTTGTGCCCTGACCTAAGGTACACCTTCCACTGGGTGAAATATCCATTACCTAAAATTTCAGGGTGTCCTCTGAGTGAAATGATCAGTTTTTCAGATGACTGACACTGATAGAAAAGGGCAGCTCAGAAATGACATGGCAGGATTTCCAAAGTTCAAAAGGATCTAAGGGAGATGATAGAATGCAAGCCAGTCCCTTTTCCATGACTCAGCTCTATTCACCGCTTTTGAGCTTCCAACAAGCTGTCACTATTAATTATCTCTGGAGCTAAGCAATTCAGAGGAAAATGCAAGTGTGCTCCACAGTTGGGGATGGCAAGATCAGATCACTGGCTATGGATGCGCAGCTGCCATCTGGCCTTTTGTTTGGTGCCAGATACTCCAAAATAATATCACTCATCACCAAGAAGGATTTGTTTTGGTGACTGCTGCCAATGAGGATAAAAGTTAGTAGAACAGGGAAAATAAATTTGGTCTGGGAAGATATTTACATAGTTTTATTTGAAGTGGGAAGCCAATGAATTGCTTTCCCACAGATTGCAAAACAAAATGTACTGCAAAGGGAAGGAAGGAAAATCTTATACTTTTCTTCACATAATTCAGATCAGACTTTAAACTGAGTTATATGTGGTGGGGGGCACAGTATTCTTGGGAACAGGACCTCATCAAGTGTCAAGTAAATTTATTTATTATATCAGGAGTGAACCGAGAGTATAGCTATACTGTATTTAAAGAGCACAAAGTTTTAAAACTTGGCATTCTATTACATGTCCTTTGACCAGTAGCTGGCCACTTCAAGTGCCTCTGGTGTTGCTGTATGAAGGTCCTCCATTGTACATGTAGCAAGGCTCAGACTGCATTGTAGTAGGTGGTCTGTGGTTTGATCTTCTCCACACTCACATGACGTGGACTCCACTCTGTGGCTCCATTTCTTAAGGTTGGTTGTGCATCTCATGCTGGCAGAGCACAGTCTCTTCAGTGCCTTCCAAGTCTTCTGTGTGTCCAGGAGGGAGTCTCTCATTTGGTACCAGCCATGGCTTGTGGTTCCAGGTTTTAGCCTGCCACTTTTGGACTCTCGCTTGCTGAGGTGTTCCTGCAAGTATCTCTGTAGATCTTAGAAAACTATTTCTTGATTTAAGGCATTGGCATGCTGGCTGATATCCAAATAGAGGATGGGCTGGAGATCACTGCCTTGGTCCTTTCATTATTGGCTGTTGCTTCCTGATGTCAGGTGGTGCAATACCGGCTAAGCAGTATAATTTCTCCAGTGGTATAGGATGTAGACATCTTGTGATAATGCAGCATGTCTCATTAAGAGCCACATCCACTGATTTACCGTGATGAGATGTATTCCACATTGGGCATGTGTACTGAGCAGCAGAGTAGCAAAGCACAAGAGCAGATGTCTACACTGTATCTGGTTGTGATCCCCAGGTTGTGCCAGTCAGCTTTCGTACAATATTGTTTCTGGTGCCCACTTTTTGCTTGATATTCAAGCAGTGCTTCTTGTAGATCAGAGCATGGTCCAGGATAACTCCCAGATATTTTGATGTGCTACAATGCTCCAGTGGGATTTCTTCCCAAGTAATCCTCAGAGGTCGAGATGCTTGTCTGTTCTTAAGATAGAAAGTACAAGTCTGTGTTTTAGATGGATTAGGAATCAGCTGGTTTTCCCTGTAATAGGCAGTAAGAGCACCTAACGTTTCGGAGAGCTTCTGTTCAACCATTTCAAAACTCCCTGCTTGAGTGGTGATGGCGTGATTGTCAGCATAGATGAATCTCTCTGTCCCTTCTGGCAGTGGCTGATCATTTGTGTAGATATTAAACACTGATGGAAGAAGCACGCTCCCCTGATGCAGGCTGTTCTTCTGTCTTTGCCATCTGCTTCTCTGGCTCTGGAATTCACAAAAAACCTCCTTTTTGTAGCAAATTTCCTATCAAGTGAGTCAGGTGGTAGTCCTTTTTGATATTATAGGTTTTTCTCAGGAGAAGGCAATGCTTTACAGTGCCATAAGCTGGTGACAGTTCCTGTAATCTGCTGCCTTTCAAAAACATCTTCTATGTGCTGAGTCAGGTTCAACACTTGTGATGTGCAGCTTTTGCCTTTCCTGAAGCCAACTTGCTGTGGAATCATGCATGGATCTATCTTTTTCCATAATTCTATGCAAAAACAAGTCTCTCCAGAACTTTGTAAAGATGGCAGAACAAGGAGATTGGTCTTTTGCTTTTTGTATTATTACAGTCTTTGTCTGATGTTGAATAAATAGTATTATAATGCAACAGCAGGAGGGGAAAAACTGAAATAAGCAGCTGGAGGAATTACCCAAGGGCTTAGATGTCTCTACACAAATGCACAGAGCATGGGAAATAAGATAAACCTGTACTTAAAACTTAGCCATAAATAATTTTTAATTAAAAGCAGAAGAAATCAGATTTAGGCTTTTTGTAATTTTTCCTCTTATCAAACAACCAAATAATAAAATTAAATTAAACGTGACTAAATGAAATCTCGGAAACGGCTTCAAGAAAGCTAAATCTGAGATCTATGTACATGTATGGAGTTACTTTTATAAATTTGCATCACTTCTATTATTTTGAACAATTTATTCGAATTTTGTTAATCATGGAGAGTCACAGCAAGTCATTCCAGGAGCTCATTGAGCAGTAGGAGTCATATCTAATCTCCCTCATTTTCTTTTGAGATTTGAACATGAATCAATGCTGGAAGTGTAACTTAAGGATACAAAACACACCTTTTAAAAAATCACCACCACCCATTAATACATTCAATATAATATTTTGAAGTCTTTTATTTTGCACTCATGGAAGGGTGGCATTGACACATCCAGGCCCGGCATACCTGTAGTTTCTTCAGTTGCAGGAGCTGATTGCGGAGATCACTGGCATTTTGCTGCAAGTCATGGAGATGGAGCTGCATGTGCAGACGGGTGATGGCAGTGGGTTGCCCACCTGGAGTACCAGTACCCGATGGGGGAGGAGGAACTGGGGTCCCTCCACTGCTTCTGCAGGGGGCTGGAAAAGAGACAATAGCAAAAAATCCAGTCACTCTAAATCACAATCCAATTACAAACCACTGTGATTTATTTTTTTTAAAAAGACATTAGTCATACAAAATTGCACACCATTTGAAAAATGTCCATGCAAAATTGGACCTGGTTTTTACACTCAAGTTACCAGTGCAAAGCACATTATAAGCTTTCATCAGAGCGATGCCAGCAACTAGCACAAAATCATTCTGTATCCATAAAGAATTGTGGCCAAGAGCATATTTTAGTGATAACCAAAAATTTGGGGTGGGATTTATTCTTTTTATATGAAAAAAAATCTGCAATTCAAAGAAATGGGGTGCCTATACTGACCTCATACCCACTGCAAAACTATGCTTTAAATGTTTATCCATCAATTCTCCTTCTACCTCATGCTGTGCTAATAATGCTGATTTTAAACCCCTCTGGATTTGCAATCATATAATTCTATTATTCTGCAGGTGCAGACACTGTCAGTTGTCAAAATAAATCAAGTAACATATTGATGCAAAGCAAAAAATGTAATTCATGTCATCTAGATCCATTTTAAATTTGTAATCTCTTTTTAACACCTTCACCTTTCTCTTCTCCTGGCTGTGAGCTGATTTAGACATGTGGTTTTGCCATTTAGTGACTTACCCAGCCAAATCTGTAAACGACATCCAATTAAAACAAGATTCCACCTGAGGTTGTGCATGGCAATAAGGGATTTTTGTCTGAATGGTTGCTGTGTCATGCATAGCTTCAATATGAATGCAAAACCTTGACCTGATTCTCTGTGTGTCAGCAGTGTGAAAGTCAAATTGGAGAAAAGGTACTATTACTTATCCTATCTCCAGAAATGGACAACTGTTGAGGGTAAGGGTACCACATTGGCCTGCGATGGGACCTTGGAGGACCATATCCCTCTGCCACCCCAGAAGAAAGTTTTGGAAACCCCCAAATTGTCCTCAAATATCCTCCTAAGCTCCTAGGGAGCCTGGAGAGCAGGGCTTCCATATTTTGAACTTCTCTGAATCAGAATATTTCCTGTTATATAAAAGATGTCTCCTGGTTCCAAAACAGCCCAGAGAGGGCAAAAAATGAGGCAATTTCCCTTCATGTTCTATAAAAGGCAACAATTTTAATCCATTTTGTTTAACTTCTCTTGTTTTTTCCCAGTGTTCTTTTTCTACCTAGGGGTAGAAATGTGGTCTGGGAAGGTACATGAGGTCAACGGTCCACTCTTTCTCCACTATTGTCTCAAAGATGGAAACAATACCGTATTTACTCGAGGCTAACATGCCATTAAATATAATGCACACCTCAATCTTCAAAACCCTGAAACTAAAAAAAAATTCTGGCAAATGTAATGCACAGTAGCAAAAAGTTCACTTTTTGTAATTTGATCAAAGAGGTATGTTTTACAGTTGCTCTGCACTTAGAACTCCTTATTTAAAAGCAAAAGTATTAAAATACCAAAGCTTCCACCTATTGAAAGTAAAACCAGTTTAATAGATAGCCCTTTCCCCATGGCGTCTCTATTGTATATTCTGCCTCAGGGCCCTTCCACACAGTCCTATATCCCAGAATATCAAGGCAGCAAATCCCACAATATCTGTTTTGAACTGGGTTATTTGAGTCCACACTCATATATGGGCTTTTCTGTCTTATTATTCTGGGATATAGGGCTGTATGGAAGGGCCCCTAGATATCTACACCACCTTAACTGTTTGCCTCAATGATATGGAATCAAAGGAGCTATAATTTTACAAGTTCTTGAGCCTTCTCAGCAAATGAGTGCTGATCCGCTTCTGAAAACCTCTTAAAAAGCTCTATGAAAAAATAGAGTTCATCCACGCTGTAGAATTAAAGCGGTTTGGCATCACTTGAATGGTTCAATGCCATGGAGTCATGGGAATATTAATTCTACAAGGGCTTTAACCTTCTCTGCCAAAGAATGCTGGTGCCTCATCAAACTACAAATCCCAGGATCCCATGACACTGGGCCATGGCATTTAAAGTGGCTTCCCAACAGCATGGCAACTGTTCCCCTGATCTCCCTTGCTGGGAACCCCAAAGAGACACAAAGAGCTTTTCGTCAAGTCCAAGGAGAGACATGGACAGAGAGAAAAGAGGGGAGCCAAGTGACTCAGTGATGGAGTATGCTGCCTTAGGCTATGCTGGAGTTTTCTTCCTTCTCTGGAGTTTTTTAAGCAGAGGCTCAATGGCCAACTGTCGGGGATGTTTTGATTGAGTGTTCTTGCATGGTGGGAGGTTGAACTGGATGGCCCTTGGGATCCCTTCCAACCCTAGGATTCAAGTGAGAGCTGTCCTTTTAGGGCACACAGGTAGTCCTCCATGACATCTCCAAGGCTGTTTCTTGCGGGGGGGGGGGGGGGGGGGAGAGAGAGGTTAAGCAGTTCCTTGCCCCCAGGAATGTGGTGGCATAACAATTATGCCTCAGGCACTTCTTGCTCTCCTACTCCATGGATCAGCCCAAGATTATCTCTCTTCCCTGTGACAAGGCATGTTAGGAGATGAAAATAATTGCTCACTTACGTGCAGATGGAGGTGTCCCTCCATTAGTTCCGTCTGTCCTCTCACTGTAACAACAGCAACAAAACAAGATTTAAATATTTAAAAGGCATCTCCACTTTTGAATTATGGCAGGAAGAAATAGTAAAACAACCCTGTAAAAGCATGTATATTGCACATGGACTTGACAGTAGCATCAGGTAAGAAAATTAGCCTAGAAAATTAGCCTAGACCTGTTGATAACATAGCTTTTGGCATATGAAACTAATCAGGGAAACACATTAGAAACAAGAACCTATCTTCCAAATACACAAATATATTTCTCTAATAGTGACCATATTGGAGACGTGGGCATTTACCTCAGCAAAGCAGCATGAGTGAGAAAAAAATAGTCTTTCAGGAGGGATTATACAGTAGATTGGTACTGGAAATTGGTTTTTCTTTTTTACAGGGTTGAAAATTGGGATCTGCGTGCTTTTTGGCAATGTAAATGCTAAAGTCGGTAAGATGGCTGTCTTCAGGCCCTTTGTGCATGACCTGCAAGGGAGATATGAAGGCTGTGTTTGTGTAAGGGGCTGCAAGATAAGGGTGCAACTGTACAGGGTTGATGCAATAAAACGAGGACACTTCCTTTAATAGTTCACATAAAATGGACTCAAAATGAATTCAAAATGATCTTGACAGATTAGAGAGATGGGCCAAAGCTAACAAAATGAAGTTCAACAGTGACGAATGCAAGTTACTCCACTTAGGCAGAAAAAAAAATGCAAAAATACAGAATGGGGGATGCGTGGCTCGAGAGCAGTATGTGTGAAAAAGATCTTGGGGTCCTTGTGGACAACAAGTTAAACATGAGCCAACAATGTGATGTGGTGGCAAAAAAGCCAATGGGATTTTGGCCTGCATCAATAGGAGTATAGTGTCCAGGTCCAGGGAAGTCATGCTACCCCTCTACTCTGCCTTGGTTAGACCACACCTGGAATATTGTGTCCAATTCTGGGCACCACAATTGAAGAGAGATATTGACAAGCTGGAATGTGTCCAGAGAAGGGCGACTAAAATGATCAAGGGTCTGGAGAACAAGCCCTATGAGGAGTGGCTTAAAGAGCTGGACATGTTTAGCCTGAAGAAGAGAAGGCTGAGAGGAGACATGATAGCCATGTATAAATATGTGAGAAGAAGCCACAGGGAGGAGGGAGCAAGCTTGTTTTCTGTTGCCTTGGAGTCCTGGAGACTAGGATGTGGAGCAATGGCTTCAAACTACAGGAAAGGAGATTCCACCTGAACATTAGGAAGAACTTTCTGACTGTGAGAGCTGTTCAGCAGTGGAACTCTCTGCCCCGAAGTCCTCTTTAAATCATACCACCCTATCGTTTCTTGATCCAGAGTCACATTTAACTCCGATTCCATTTTGGCCCCATCTTTTGCTAGTCAAGTGAAGGTTTTTGCTAGAAATGGATCTGTAGTTTGATACCAAAATCCTATTTCACATTTTGTAGGGAAAATCCTCATCTGCCCATGCCAAGGGAAGAAGAGCATGAATAGCAATCTCTTACCTAGGCGTTTCTGCATCAGAACTTCTCATCAATGCACTTTGCACCAAGCCAGTGAGGCTGGCAATCTGCTTCTCCATGGCTTCCATGCGCTCCCTGAAATAAAGAAGGTGGGGAAGATGAAAGAGCACCAGTAAATTACAGCTAGAGAAGAATAGATGTTTTTCCTGTTTTCCTCTGAGTAACAGGAAAGCAGCAGGGATGACAGAGATTGTTCAATCAGTCTATATTTGGTGCATGCCATTTTCACAAGTATTCACTCAGAAGGAGCCTTCGACAATGCAATGGGTTAAACTCTTGTACTAGCAGCACTGCTTACTGTAGTTTGATACCAAAATCCTATTCCACGCTCTCTAGGGAAGCAGTTCGAATCCAGGGAGAGCGGGTTGAGCTCCCTCTGTCAGCTCCAGCTCCCCACACAGAGACATGAGGGAAGCCTCCCACAAGGATGGTAAAACATCAAACATCCGGTTGTCCCTAGGCAACGTCCTTGCAGACGGCCAATTCTCTCACACCAAAAGCGACTTGTAGTTTTTCAAGTCGCTCCTGACAAGAGAAAAAAAAAACCCTCAGAAGTTCTTTCCACACAATTTTCACAGCAATATGCATTGGGAGCGAGCTAACCTGTCAACATTTGAATTTAATTTCAAACACAACTTTTGTTAACATAAATACTTTCAATACATTTTTTCTCAACTCACATTTTTATATGCAATTCTCCATAATATATATGCATTTTGCATGCAACTGCCACCTCTACATCTGTTTTTGTGTGTGATTTTTACCTGATGAATTAAGAGTTCTGCAACCTGAGACGTGCAATGTTGATATTTATTTATTTATTTATTTATTGCATTTATATTCCACCCTTCTCACCCCAAAGGGGACTCAGGGTGGAGCACAACATATATACGGCAAACATTCAATACCAGAATAGAAAATAAACTATAAATATACATAAACACTAAAATCAATCATTTAAAACAATCCCAGATCACACATACTGAATCTGGTCAGTAGGGTAAAGTTTCCTATTATTGCCTTATTGCACTGTGCCAAAGGCTTGGTCCCACAGCCAAGTTTTTACCATCTTTCTGAAGGACAGGAGGGAGGAGGCTGATCTAATCTCACCAGGGAGGGAGTTCCATATCCAAGGGGCAATCACTGAAAAGGCCCTCTCTCTTGTCCCCGCCAAATGTGGTGACAGTACCGAGAGCAGGACCTTCCCAGAAGATCTTAATCTCCGGAGGATATGCATTCGGACAGGCAGATTGGGCCGGGACAGTTTACGGCTTTATAGGCTGAAGCCAGCACTTTGAATTGCGCTGGTAGCAAACTGGCAACCAGTGGAGCTCACACAACATGGGAGTTGTGTGCTCCATGTATGTTGTCCCACTTATTAACCTGGCTGCCTCTCATTGGACTATTCAAATCTTCTGAACAGTCTTCAAAGGCAACCCCCACATAGAGCGCATTGCAGTAGTCTATCCTAGATGTAACAAGAGTGTGGACCATCATAGTTTTGCGGAAAAATTTGGATCAAAGAACAATCTCCCTTATCTCTAAGTAAGGAGGGATCATCCTAATTTATTTATGTTGGTTTTATTTCAAAACATTATGCATTATGCACCTCTCTCTTATTTGGAACATCCTAGGCAATTGGCAACAGTGTAAAAAGAACCCAAATGTGAAAATAATATTTTTTGAAGTACTTGAGAAGCAACTTAATTTTCTAGAAAATTCAGCAGAACAATGAACATATTTCTTTTCTTTTTTTTAAGGCCCAGGTTTTTAAAAAACTGTGTAGTATGCTTCCCAAAACTCCTTGGAAGAGCAATATCTCCTCAATACAATAAAAACTGATGAGCAATGGAGCAAAACTGACTTCCTGAGCATATAAGGCATTTAAGAATGGAACAAGACTCCAGCCAAATCAGACCAAAGAAGCATGTAATCCAGTATCCTGTTTTCCTTCTGTGCACAACCAGATCACCGTGGGAAGACCACACACCAGAACATGAAAGCAGCAGAATAAAGGGCAACGATCGAGTTAGAAAAAAAGACAGTTTGAGGAAAGCCATGTTTAAATAAGACAGAGCTCATCTGCTCACAAGATAGATATTCATCATGGTGTACAGGATCCATAAATATGTTTCCATGATATGGAAATTTGGTCTCAAATATGCCTCTCTCCAAAGGAACTTTCAGAATTTCTGGATAGCTACCAAGAATGCGTTTCAATGTATTACCACTCTCCCAATTTTTGTAACCAAGCAGTGTGTTTCCAAGCCCAAACCGAACCCTGTGTAAGGTAATCCATTACAAAGTCTGTTTGGCCATGTCTCCCTGGTAACATGTAGCTGCAAAACCATAAAATGTAAAAGAATTTTGACACAGAGACATCATAGCATGAGGGATTGTATGCCCGACTCTATTGCATGCAATGTCTATGGAGATGGTGTAGGTATGCATTGCAGTGAAGCATATGCCTCCACATTAACATGCCATAATCCAAAGGACATATCAGTAGAAGCACTTTTGAATAGTATCTTTTTAACTCATAGTCTAGGAGCCCCTGGTGGCTTAAAGGGTTAAACCCTTGTGCTAGTGGGACAGGTCACAGGTTCGGATCCGGGAAAAGTGCGGATGAGCTCCCTCTGTCAGCTCCGGCTACCTATGTGGGGACATGAGAGAAGCCTCCTACAAGGATGGTAAAACATCAAAGCATCCAAGTGTGCCCTAGGCAACATCCTGCAGATGGCCAATTCTCTTACACCAGAAGCGTCTTGCAGTTTCTCAAGTCACTCCTGACATTAAAAAAACCCCTCTTTGTGTGTGCATTAATCTGTCTGTGATCATATGTGGAAGGGGAAACAGTTTGGATGGCAAAGAGGGGTGGAAGAATTTTGGAAAAGAATCAAACACCATTGTCATTCTATTATTTATAGCCAGCTGAATATATTTTGCTGCCTAAGGCAAAGGACAAAATATCATTCCCTCTCTCTCTCACACTCCACATACAAGGGATGAATGAAAAGTAATGCCTCCACCATCGTAACTCCTCAACAGATGGCAGTACTGGTATGCGGCAGGTACTGGCTTGTTTAGTAGACTATCCTCTACAGTTTCATTTTGGTGGGAAGCCTTAGCATTGAACAGTTGTGTTGTTAAAGTGCAAAGTATGGAACCTGCGCAGACGGTCGGTCAATGCGACTTAAGCATTGAATTCTTGACAGCAGAAGTTGTCATACCAAAGGGGATTCATCAAAGAATGCAAGCTGTTTATGGTGATCATGTTGATGTGAGTATTGTGCGTCATTGGGAGAGTACCTTTCAAGATGTTGAGGTGGGAACATCTGACTTGCATGACAAACAAAGAGTTGGACATCCTGTGAAAGCAACCACCGAATTTCACAAGCAAAAGGTTGTCAGATTGATTCAGGATGATTGTTGTATCACTCAGAGAGAAATTTCAAGCATAATCGGCATTTCACAAGAATGTGTAGGTCACATTATTGCTTTGCTTGGCTATTGGAAGATCTGTGCATGATGGGTACCTAGGATGCTGACGCCTGAAATGAAAGTGCACAGACTCGAAACTTCAGAGACTGGATCTCACCACCGTATGACATCCTCCATACAGTCCAGATTTAGCACTGTCTGACTTCCATCTGTTCCCGATAATGAAAGACGATCTGCAGGGACATCATTATACTTCTGATGAAGACGTTGAGAGAACTGTGAAATGCTGGTTGCGGAAACAGAGTGTCGACTTCTTCCTTTACGGCTTCAGAAAACTTGTTCATCATTGGCAGAAATGTATCCAATTGTCTGGTGATTATGTGGAAAAGTGAACCATGGTAGTTAAAGAGCACATTCTAAGGATTATTTCTGCGTTTGATTTATTAAAATATTCCCATCTAAATCCAAGTAACAAAGGTGGAAGCATTACTTTTCATTCAAACCTCGGAGAAAGACAACTTGGACTGGTCGCTGAACTGTACTTCAAGATCAATAACAGGGCAGTGTCTTCCATGCCATGGAGGGCAGCACCTCATCTTAGGGAATATAGGACAGATACAGGGAGCTCTGTCCTCCAACGAAAGGAAATGGCCACATGAGGAATGGTTGGTGGCTCTCACTGCTACTCTCCATTATCTGCTTCCAGAAGTGGTTGCTTCGGTCATGCCATCATGTCAAGGCCAGTGCTCTTTGGCTAAAGTCAAGTGGGAAATGGTTCTCTCTTGAGGCCGCAACACTTGAAAAATAGTGAAGAGCTTTGGAAAAGGCTAAGACAGAACCACGAATCTGTCCCAAACTGTGTTTTTTGTTTATTTCTTTGGCTACCCTTTCCTGACAATGTTTATCCCGAAGGTGTTCCTCAGCCAATCTTCCTTGAAGGTTTTGCACTAAAGAGAAATTTCTTGTACACACTTTCCAGTACATTAACTTCTGACAGGCCCATGCTTGTCATTCCTTTGACCTCTCCTGCATGCTTTTCACACGCTCCCTCACTTTCTCTCGCTGTTTCTAATCATTTCTTTCTTTCTATCTTTTTGTTATCCTAATGAGCTCTGTTCCTATCATTCCCCCTGACAACTCAGCTGACAGCTCAGGAACTATGCTGGCTGTGGAGATGTAGACACAGGAAGATTAGCAGGAGATAAGGCATATTTTTTCCAGTATGATTTGCCTTTTGCCAGCCCCTTAAAGGGAACAGAGAAAGGCCACCAAATAGTGAGAAGGGGAATAGAGGAAGTACTGTGGGGACACAGAAGGCACATAACTATTCAAAGTATATGGGGTGAAACTAGTTATTTATTCAGCCCTTAGGTGACGCCAAGGTACTATTTCTCTGCAATCAACTGGGAGTGGAATTAAAATGGAGCTCCACGAAGCATGTAATATACTGTTGTATTATCCATCAATGTAATTACCCATGGTGAAGATTCTTATAAAAAACTAGAAGTTATTCCCATTGAGCATAAGCCCAAAAAGTTGGGTAAAAGTCAAATAGAGCATAGAAGAGAGTTGAGTAATCTCATGCCTTCCAGATGCTTTAGACCAGAGTTCCTCAACCTTCCTAATGCCAAGACTCATTAATACAGTTCCTCATGCTGTGGTGACCCCAACCATAACATTATTTTTGTTGCTACTTCATAATTAATTTTTGTACGGTTATGAATCATAATGTAAATATATAATATGCAGGATGTATTTTCATTCACTGAACCAAATTTGGCACAAATACCTAATGCGCCCAAATCTGAATACTGGTAGGGTTGAGGGGGATTGATTTTGTAATTTGGGAGTTGTAGTTACTGGGATTTATAGTTCACCTACAATCAAAGAGCTTTCTGAGCTCCACCAACAATGGAATTGAACCAAATTTAGCATACAGAATTCCCATGACCAACAGAAAATACTGGAAGGGTTGGTGGGCATTGTCCTTGAGTTTTGGAGTTGTTAAGCAAATGATGGATCTAGACCAAATTTGGCATGAATACTCAATATGCCCAAATGGTGGAGTTTGGAGAAAACAGACCTTGACATTTGGGAGTTGTAGTTGCTGGGATGTATAGTTCACCTACAATCAAAGAGCATTCTGAACACAACCTACGATAGAATTGGGCCAAACTACCAACAGAACCCCCATGACCAACAGAAACTGCTGTGTTTTCTGATGGTCTTTGGCGACCCCTCTGACACCCCCTCGTGGCCCCCTGGGTCCCGACCCCCAAAGTTGAGAAACGCTTCTTTAGACTACAACTCCTTAAAGTACAGCTAGCAAGGCCAACAGGCAGGGATAATAGGAGTTGGAATCTAAAACATCTAAGAAACAAAAGATTGCATATCCTGATCTAAGGTATGTAGATTGCATATTGTCAGCAGGAAGGATAGGAGCCCCCAGTGGCCCAATGGGTTAAACCCGGGAAGAGCATGGATGAGCTCCCTCTGTCAGCTCGAGCTCCCCATGCGGGGACATGAGAGAAGCCTCCCACAAGGATGGTAAAACATCAAAAAAAATCAGGGCATCCCCTGGGCAACATCCTTGCAGATGGCCAATTCTCTCACACCAGAAACAACTTGCAGTTTCTCAAGTCACTCCTGGTACAGAAAAAAAGCAGGAAGAATATAGGCAAGCTGTTTTGGAGACTTCATTAAAAGCATACATAATAAAGCAGATAAAGAGGCTAAACAGGTAGTGTGCTCATCCGTGATTGCTGAATTCATGGTAATTGGCATGAATTAACTTGTTAAAACCACTCTGGACGTTTTGTACTGAGGAATAGATATGTACTTTTCCAAACCCTATACCTTTTTTTTTGCACAGTGACAATTACTGTTCAGAAAACCAGGATCTTTATGCCGGTGTCAAGCTCTAATGATATGCAAATACTGGCCAGGATGGTGAACAAGGTCCATCAGATAACCATCAGATAATGAAACCTCATCATCATCGACTTACCTTGTTTCTGTATCCTTGGCAGGCACAGGTGAACTGAATCCTGAAAGGGGACGTTCTCCAGGACCAGGGAAGAGCTCTGGGGGCCCTGAAGAACTAGAATTCCGCGGCTTGTTGACAGGACTTTCCATGAAGACAGAGGAGCAAGAGTCTTTGCGAAAAGTCTGGCGAACTGGTGAAGACCGGCTTGGAGGCCCCGAATAAGGGCTGTGGGGGCTTTGGCTCTGCTGAACGTCTACTAGACGGCCATCAGCAATTTTCTGGGGGGAGGATGGGGGCAGGCGAAAGCCCATCCCTGGACCATAGGTATCACTATATATCTGTGCATTGGGTTTGTATAAGCTATCTTCAAGTTCTGACTGAAGGGCAGCAGCTGAATAGGTACTGAGGGACCGGACGGAGCCTCGCTTATAGAGACCCCCAGGATAAGCAAACGGGTCTCCCATCCCAGCCAGTGACTGAGTGGATGTAATGCTCAGACGTCCTTCATGCACCATACTGTAAGGATCAGCATACAGGCCTTCGTTCTTCACGAGCACCATGTTCTTCCCAGCCAGGTCTTCATCTGGCTTGACATCCCGGCGTTCCAAAATAGCACTTGGGCTTGGTGAGACACCCTGGGCTGGAGGCAGGTTGGAGAGCCGTTCACTATGGTGTACGGGGCTGCCCGCATAGGAAGGTGGGCGCCCTCCACTATAAGACATGCGGGAACGGGATGGTGAGGAGGACTGAAGCACCGGTGGGGGAGAGCCAGAAGTGAGATGGGAAGCAGGGGACATACTGTTCAGGCGCCGGGTCGGAGAGGACTCCCTGGAAGAGTAGACCATTTCTCTCTGAGGAGACAAAAGGTCGGAGAAGATGGGAATGTTAGCACTCTACTTCGCCCCATAAAACATGCCCCATAAAACATGGGATGTTGATAATAGGCAATTGGTTAAAAAGGTGGAGGGGGAAAAAAGCAATGAAAACCAGCAATGAAAACCAGTCCCATCAGTTCTTCCTATGAACTAGCTCATGCAAAGATAAAAAGAGATGCTTGCCATAGATGCAGGCGAAACGTCAGGAGAAAATGCCTCTAGAACATGGCCATATAGCCCAAAAAAACCTACAATAGCCCATAAAAGGAGATTGCCAAGATTAACTATACCCATTTGAGTGCTCTGTGGATGTAGGTTACATGCACCGCCATCATTATCATTATGGTAGCATCTACACATTTCCACAGAAAAACCTGGTATGTAAGGGAAAATGTGCCAGAATTTTCCTCCCTAGTATATAATTTTCTTCAATTTCATTGGCTGAAAAACATTAAATATTGCCCTCTCCTACTTGCAATATGAAAGTGGTATAATCTTGGAAGCATTTTAACATTTTACCTGCTGTGTGAATTACGCCTATGAGTTCAGCAGTCTTCATCTTCTGCATGAATGCCTCAAATTCGGTATCATTATATGCACTCTACTATAAGAATATATTATGCAAAACACACACATTTGTTTCTATGGTTTATCTATTGACGCTCTATTAGCCAAGGGAGACAAGGCAAAGGAACACTGAAACTTTGCTTCCAGATCAGTGAAGATGGTTATCTTTTGGCTGGATTTTCCTAGGAGATGTCCCCACTTATTTAAACCTGTTCTATTACCATTTCAAAAATATGAAACCTGGAAGGTTCACAATAAATGCATTTTCAGGGAAGTACCAAATTCTATTGAGATCTGGAACACTAACAGAAGTGTATAGCCATGGTAGGCCATGCTCTGGTTACATCCCATATAGACTACTACAACACACTCTACGTGGGGCTGCCTTTGAAGACTGTTCGGAAGCTTCAAATGGTCCAATGGGCAGCAACCAGTTGTTAACAGGAGCAGCGCTCAGGGAGCACACAACTCCTCTGTTGCACCAGCTCCACTGGCTACAAGCTTGCTACCGGCTACAATTCAAAGTGCTGGCTTTAGCCTTTAAAGCCCTAAATGGTTCGGCCCAGCTTACCTGTCTGAATGCATCTCTCCCTATGAACCATCTAGGTGCTTAAGATCATCTGGTGAGGTCCTGATCTCAGTACCGCAGATGTGATTGGTGGGAACGAGAGACAGGGCCTTCTCAGAGGTGGCCCCTCGGCTATGGAACACCCTCTCTAGGGATATTAGATCGCCCCCCTCCCTATTTTGAAAGAGTCAAAACCTGGCTGTTTGAGCAGGCATTTGCAGATGCAGTGTAACAGACTAATTGAGATCCATGGAATGTTTGGACGATGAGACGCTGAAGACTTGTGTTTTATGGTTTTTATTGTTTTATTGCTTTTATATGGTTTATATTATATGTAATGTTTTTAATGGTATTTATGTTGTTGGGGGCATTAACTGCCAACTGTAAACCACCTCAAGTCACCTTCGGGTTGAGAAGAGTGGTATATAAATATGGCAAATAAATAAATAAATAAATAAATAAAGACTTCTACACCAGGCATGGGTAAGCTTCATCCCTCCAGATGTTTTGGACTTCAACTTCCACAATTTGTTCAGAATTGTGGGAGTTGAAGTCCAAAACACCTGGAGGGCTGAAGTTGCCCATGCCTGGTGTAGACATACACTACCTTTGAGATAACTATTCTATGTGATAATTATTCCATACTCTTAACACAATTGCTCCCTCAACCAAGAACAGCAGTTCCCCCCTCTTCACTTTCTCTTCCTTCTGTCTAGAACAGTGGTTTTCAACGTGTGGGTCCCCAGGTGTTTTGGCCTACAACTCCCAGAAATCCCAGGCAGTTTACCAGATGTTAGGACTTCTAGGAGTTGAAGGCCAAAACATCTGGGGACCCACAGGTTGAGAATCACTGGTCTAGAACATCCTAATTATCAACTTCATTATTTTGTCTCTAAGCTCTGAGTACCCTCATTCCTATAACTACATTGCTATAAGTGATCCATGTCATGCTCATCTCTCTATCCAAACACGCACACAAACACGATTACTGTCTCAATTATGGTCAAAGGCTTTCATGGTCAAAATCACTGGGTTGTTGTGAGTTTTCCGGGCTATATGACCATGTTCCAGAAGCATTCTCTCCTGATGATCTATGGCAGGCATCCTCAGAGGTTGTGAGGTCTGTTGGAACCTGCCATGGATGCAGGCAAAATATCAGGAGAGGATGCTTCTGGAACATGGCCATACAGCCTGGAAAACTCACAACAACCCGGTCTTTATTATTCTTTTTTTTCATTCTCAGCATTTCTATTTTCTTATCCTGTCTTATTGCTCAAAGAGTCATGATTATGTATTTACATGCAGGTTGTGTGTTTTTCTGTTTATGCACTTGGAATGACTAATCAGAAGTGCAAATTTTTTTTGTAATTAATTCCTTTTCTCCAGCAATGAAGATATAGTTGCATTATATTATGATCCTAACTAAACAAGGGACAACTCCAATTCTTTCCACTGCAATGATAACTTTTAGTAACTGTGACAGTTAAATTGATCTGGCCTCAATTATTAGTTCAATAGTGGGCTTCAGTTATGTCACATGCTCATAAATGTTCAGGACATGGGAGGATGGGAGGCAAGTATATATACAGAAGCTTATAGAATGGCTTATAGTACTTTTGGTAAAGTAATTAATATGTAACTAATTTAATTAACTTACCTGTCCGATCGCATCTCCCCTTATGAACCATCTAGGACCTTAAGATCGTCTGAGGAGGCTCTGCTCTCGTTACCACCTTCGTCACAAGTATGTTTGGCGGAGACGAGAGACAGGACCTTCTTGGTGGTGGCCCCTCAGCTGTGGAATGCCCACCCTAGGGATATCAGATCTACCCCTCCCTTTTAACATTATGTAAAAAGTCAAGATGTGGCTTTTTGAACAAGCGTTGCAAATACAGAGTAACTGACATAGGAAAATGGAACAACTAGATGATGGGACCGGACAATGATTTTAAGAAAGAGACACTATGGTTTTATGTTTTATTTGTTGCTACTAAGAGGTTGCAACGTACTTTATCTAAGTTGTTGTAAGGATCAATGTTGTTTGTGCTATACCTTTAACTTACTGTAAGGTTCAAGGCTGTTTGTGCTACAGCTGTTTCAGTTAATTGAAGAGTTAATTGAGAGTATTATTTTCATGTGTATAAAGATAGCTACTGTGTGTTTAGTTTTTGCCATTGTGCCTTAATGCCATTGTGCGTGTTTGCCATTGTGCGTGTTTGCCTCTGTGCCGTTCTGTCGGGGACTATGCTGCAGATGTCCTGTGAAGACACAGCCTTGAGAAGAGGACAAGGATTCCTGCTTATCTCAGCTGAGTGGTGATATCTCTCAGAAGATATTGTTTTATGTTACTTTTGTGGAAACAGTAATCCTGCTACTTTATTTTGTATGCTGCCAATACAACAATATTTTCTTTTCTACTTGAAGTCAACGTCTCATGTATTTTTTCTTTTATGAGCCAATTCATCACACATTGTTAACTGGGCTAGAGTCAATCCGCATGCTTCTCATGCTAGCGCATGACATTATTTACTTTGTTATTGTTTTTTTATCATATGTTAATATTTTTAATTGTATTTATGGTATTGTGGACATTGAATTTTGTCCTGTAAACTGCCTTGAGTTGCCTGCAAGCTGAAAAAGGTGGTATACAAATACAGTAATTAATTAATTAATTAATTGCTTCAGAGGAACATCAAATTAGGAGTAACATTTAAAAATTGTACTATGAGTATAACTGATCACTTATGGGGGGGGGCATAATTTTATGTAACTGTATTCAATTGCTTTCTAAAAGAGCTTCCTATGAACCCCACGGAACTGCCTGCCTAAAGAGTAGCACTGATTTTGTGTAACCAGAAGATGTAATATTTTATTCAAAGCTAGAGACACCTTATGTTAAAATCCGGTTCCTGTGAGCATTACCTTCCTCTACAGCTATCAGAAGCATAGGATCCTCTCTAAGGATAACATATTTCAAACATTGAAATCCTAGGGGAAATAAAGTACGCCACAGAATCAGGATTGCCTTTGAGTGCATCCAGTTCTAAGTTTATCGGTCCTACCAAAGAAAAAGAATGGAGCCTAGACTGGACTCCAAGGAATTACTGTCACTTTCTAGAAGGTTGACAGTCAAAAGAAACTCCTAGATCAAAAATCAAAAGCTTTCATGTTGCAAAGGAAAAGGAGAATTCTACCCAACCATCCTGCTTTTTTTAGTCTAGGGAGCACTAGGTCTTGAAGAAGAAGGAATCTATGTAGTTAGTATTTAAAAAAAAAACAACAACAACTGTGTTGTTGCATGGCTGCAGAAATGCACTAGTGGCTATATGCTTTTGCAACCTGATGCCTTCCACATCATGGAACAACAACTTCCACACCCAACAGCCATACTGGTTGTGGAAGATGAGTGCTGTAGACCAAAAGACCTGGAGGGTAGGAAAGGATGGCTTTCTAGAAGCTCATTTGGTTTGGTCTCAATGATATAGGGATTACTGGACTGTAATTTAGTAATCTACTGACCCCACTTGGTTCACCCACATTCAAAAAAGCAACAACAAAGGGATAGCTCCTGTACAATGTAGTGCTATGGAGCCCCCGGTGGCGCAGTGGGTTAAACCCCTGTGCCAGCAGGACTGAAGACCGACAGGTTGCAGGTTCGAATCCGGGGCGATTGCGGATGAGCTCCCTCTGTCAGCTCCAGCTCCCCATATGGGGACACGAGAGAAGCCTCCCACAAGGATGATAAAACATCAAAACATCCAGGCATCCCCTGGGAAACATCTTTGCAGATAGCCAATTCTCTCACACCAGAAGCAACTTGCAGTTTTCAAGTAGCTCCTGACATGACATAAATAAATAAATGTAGTGCTCTTACCCGTAAGTCACCATTAGTAATATGGGAGCCAGGGAAGGAGGCATAAAGGGGCTCTTTCCGGTAGATTTTGATAATGCTTCTATCCTGGATATCTCTGGAAGAAAAAAAAGGCAAAACAACAAAACCAATATGTTAGTTATTTTCCCAAGAGCCAGATAAGGTACAGCCAATTACAGTGGTAGCTGCACAGAAGTACTTTACTTACTAGGTGATCCTTCGTTATCTGAGTAAGATTGTACCCCAAGTGTGGTGTCCTGGCAGTGGGTACGTAGGTGACTGTGGAGTCACCTCCGGGCTGATATGAGCGGGGTAGAAATAATGCAAATAAATAAATTATTCTTGACCTGCATGTTCTCCTGCAATGAGGGCATCAGTTTCTATGCTGAAGACAGTCCCGGTCGGGGTTGGCTTGATGCATCTTCCTCTTGACACATTTCTCTCTTTTGCCCTCCATTCTTGCCTCTTCAAATTCTACAGCACTGCTGGTCACAGCTGACCTCCAGCTAGAGCACTCAAGGGCCAGGGCTTCCCAGTTCTTGGTGTCTATGCCACAGTTTTTAAGGTTGGCTTTGAGCCCATCTTTAAATCTCTTTTCCTGTCCTCCAACACTCCTTTTTCCATTCTTGAGTTCAGAGTAGAGTAACTGCTTCGGGAGACAGTGATTGGGCATTCAGACAACGTGACTGGTCCAGCGGAGTTAATGGCGGAGGACCATTGCTTCAATGCTGGTGGTCTTTGCTTCTTCTGGCACGCTGACATTTGTCCACCTGTCTTCCCAAGAGATTTGCAGGATTTTTCAGAGACAACACTGATGGAATCTTCCAGGAGTTGCATATGATGTCTGTAGGTGGTCCACGTCTCACAGGTGTATAGCAGGGTTGGGAGGACAATAGCTTTATAAACAAGCACCTTGGTATCCCTGTGGATGTCCTGGTCCTCAAACACTCTGTGCTTCATTCAGAAAAATGCTGCACTTGCAGAGCTCAGGCGGTGTTGTGTTCCAGTGTCAATGTTGGCTTTTGTGGAGAGGTGGCTGCCAAAGTAGTGGAAATGGTCAACGTTTTCTAATGTTACACCATTTCTGTATTTCTGGCATTGGAGACATATTGGCTGGTGCCTGCTGGAAGAGCACTTTTGCACAGAAGCAATCTGTTGAGATCACAGGCTGTTGCCAGCTGCTAGAGGCCTTCATGAAGGTGCAGATCAGCATGCCCAAACCCATCCAAAAAACAAAGAGGATTTGCAGATCTAATGAATACATATATATGGATTTTTCCACACAGTTCCTCTTTGGCTCTTGTGTATAGATTTTGCGTTTGGGTTCAATACTCTTCCAATGAATTACAGCGATACCTAGCACTTGCTAGAAACTTTAAGGCTGAATCCCCAAGCTTCACATCAGAGGAATTCTGCATGACTCCAAACACAGATGCTGCCAAAGGCAGATATGTGGCAGCTCTCTGATTTCTCAGAATTGCTTAATGTGGGATACACCAGGGGTTTATGGAAGGGGTAATGATAAACTAGGGATGACTAAGGAGCAATTTGACAGAAGTCTCTCACAATTATGCTCAGTGTGGAGAGAGAGTGGCTAGAAGTGCATTTGTCTCCCTTTATCATAATATTAAAAGTCAGCAACAGCAGCCCCAATTAAACTGATTGCCAGGAGATCGTGGACGCACAAAAGGAAATGCTTCACATAACACATAATTAATGGATGATGAAATTATCTGTTGCAAGATGTCGTACTGTCCACTGCTTTAAAAGAGGCATCAAGACCATTTGTGAAAGGCAGTTTTGTGATTGCCTTCCAGCTACAATCGCTCTAGTTTCAGAGCTGAATAATAGATGGTGGGGTCCAAGAATGTAATGGGATTGAAGGATTGGGGACTGTTGTTTCCTCAAACCCCTGCATGCGAACGTCACAGTGACTTCAGGCAAGCTATTCTTAGAGACAGAGCCTAGATACCTAAGAGCACCAGATCACAACTGATCTTGAAAGATAAAGCAGGGGAAACCCTGGTAAATGCTTGGATGGGAGACCAACAAAGAATACTAGGTGCTATAGGCTACATTTCAAAGGAAGGAACTGACATGCCACCTTGGAGTAATCTCTATGAAAATCAAAAGGTTGCCATAAATTGACAGGCGACTTGAAGGGACACACCAACACACCACACTATTAGAGACAGAGTGCTAGGCCAGATGGTCTAATCCAGAAGGAGCTTTAAATTCTCAACAGTTTGATCTGGGAGGAATAGAAAACCAGAGCTAAGTCTAACAAACAACAGGTGTCTAGACAGAGTGTATTCTTAATGAATATGATATTGGAAGAACTTTTTGTTACACACATAATGTGTTACACCCAACCTCCTACAGTTTTGCTGTAATGAAAAGAAAAACACCATTTCAGTCTGCATTAATCAGACTTTCTCTGGACTGCAGACGCGGGCATTGCACGTTGGTAAGAACACAAGAAAAATGGCAGTAGAAATAATCGAGGGAATGCAGGGAGATAGGGAGTTCTATGATGCAAATTAAGAAAGAATTGGGCATGTATAGCCCTAGAGATGTGAATACTAGTTAGTATGGGGAAATGAATAGTGCTTTTTCAACTACTATTTCTGGAATACTATTTTTCAAATAATAAAATAAAGATAAAGGTTTCCCCTGATATTAAGTCTAACTCGTGTCCGACTCTGGGGGGTGGTGCTCATCTCCATTTCCAAGTCGGAGAGCCGGTGTTGTCTGTCGACACCTCCATGGTCATGTGGCCAGCATGACTGCATGGGGTGCCATTACCTTTCTGCTGAATCAGTACCTATTGATCTACTCACATTTGCATGTTTTCAAACAGCTAGGTTGGCAGAAGCTGGGCCTAACAGTGGGAGCTCCCTGGATTTGAACCGCCAACCTTTTGGCCAGCAAGTTCAGCAGGTCAGTGGTTTAACCCACTGCACCACTAAAAATTTATAATACCACAAAGGACTGCCTCCTCACCCACTTCATAGGAAATCTGCTACAAAACAGGAGCTTTTTTGTTGAGTTCCAATTTCAGGGAAGCAGATGGCGAAAACAGAATAAGGGCTCGCCTCAGGGGAGCATGCTTGCTCCATCAATGTTTAACATTTACACAAATGACCAGCCACTGCCAGAAAGAACAGGAAGTTTCATCTATGCTGAAAATTGTGCCATCACCTCTCAAGCAGAGAGCTTTGAAATGGTTGAACAGAAGCTCTCTGAAGCTTTAGGTGCTCTTATTACAGGGAAAACCAACTGATTCCTAATCTATTTAAAATACAGACATGTGTTTTCCATCTTCAGAACAGACAAGCATCTTGAGCTCTTGGGATTACCTGGGAAGGAATCCAACTGGAGCAGTGCAGCACATCAAAATACCTGGGAGTTACCGTAGACGGTGCTCTGACTTCCAAGAAACGCTGCTTGAATATTAAGCAAAAAGTAGGTGCTAGAAATAATATCATATGAAAGCTGACTGGCACAACATGGGGATCACAACCAGATACAGTGAAGACACCTGCCTTCTGCTGAATACACATGCCCAGTGTCGAATATATCTCACCATGTTAAAACAGTGGACGTGGCTCTTAATGAGACATGGCTTATTATCACAGGATGTCTATGTCCCACACCATTGGAGAAATTATACTGTTTAGCCAGCATTGCATCACTTGACATCCATTGGGAAGTAGCAGCCAATAATGAAAGGACCAAGATAGTGACATCTCCAGCCCACCCTCTGTTTGGATATCAGCCAGCAAGCCAATGGCTTAAATCAAGAAACAGCTTTCTAAGAACTACAGAGATACTCACAGGAACATCTCAGCAAGCAAGAGTTCAAAAGTAGCAGGCTAAAACCCAGAACCTCAATCCATGGCTGATATCAGATGAGAAACTGAATGGCCTTTTTTCTTGCAATGTCTCTGCTTTTTAGGGTGAGGCCTATATGTTTTTGACATATTGAAAATACTGCTGGAGCATTTTTTTTCATTTAAATATGCTGGATTGATTTGAGACATAGTATGGTAGGTGCAATGAAATCAATGGAACTTAAGTTAATTATGATTTATCTTAAGGAATATGAAAATATGGCTACCCTCTGGTTTAGTAATGGCCCAGATTTTAGCACAGCAGGTTAACCGCAAGCTGCAGTAAATCTTGCCAACCAAAAAATTGACAGTTCATAGCCCGGGTCAGTGTGAGTCCCTGGCCTTTAGCCCAGCTTCTGCTTACCTAGCAATTTGAAAACAAATGTGAGTAGATAAATAGGTACCACTTTAAAAAGTGGGGAGGTAGAAAGGCACCCATAAGGAAGTGCCAGAAAAATGTTGACATTCAACCAAGGTGAAAGTTTGCGAACAAAGCTCTTTGGCATCGAAGATGGAGCAACAGCACACGCTCACATGGCCAGAACCAAGCACAGCCTCCAAGACGCCGAAGATGGGAAAATCTATATATACCTCTATCTATGAACAGTTGTCTGTCTTGTCAGTGTATAACAGCATTTGCAAAAGTAACACATCAGTCCCACATTACTCTTAAAGTAATGAATAAAGATTAGCAAAGAAGTGAGAAAGGTGTAGGGGGGGGGGTACATATAACACTTATTGTGATCTGTTAAATAAGTAAATAAGGTTCCAAGTTCTGTGATAGTAATTGTTAAGCTTTCACCAAGGAATGTTGAAGGATATTTCTCACCTGACATCCTCCAGCTCATAGAACACATTACGGGATTCGTCCTTAATCAGGATGGCAGTGTTGGGAGATTTCAGCATGCCCATTGTCAACTTCTGGGGAAACATGTGGACGATGAGGGCATGTAGAGTATCCATGCTGCTAATCTCATGGGTGATGTGAACCCGTCTCGTCTCATCTCC